AGTTTTTGGTACTGACGGTAGTGTTTTTCTCCCCCATTGCTAGTAGGTGATGGGTCGCACGCCTGACACACATGTTTCGACCTTGTGTATATATATTCAGAAATGGATCAAAAAACATTGGTTTTGTTCAGAAAAAGCATCACTTTTAAACAGAACCCAGTTTTCCCTTTTCCCCATTTGCCACAAATTTTGAACAGAAAACCATTCCGATCGTAATCCATTTCTCTTTCTATTGGGATTTGTAGATATAAAGAAGGAAAAAACAGAGTAAAAAAGCATATGAAAAACTCAAACTTTCATGTTTTTTTTTTTCAGGAACTCAAGAAGATCAACTGAAGAAGACTCACATAGTTTACATATTGAGGAAATCCAAGATCCAAACAAGAAACTTACACAACAAATTGCTATAATATACATCACCTCCATCCGTACACTACTTGAGTGTATGTGTTCTTGATCCATCTGAAACTCTTTCTCAGAGACCCTTTCATCTTCCCTTCCACTGCATAAACCTTATAACCAGCGACCCTCGTTTTCCTCTGCAATTCTGGGTCCTTGAAACTCCAGCTTTTAGAAGAAGACCCAATATTGCTTTTGCCTTTCTTCATCTTTACCTCTTTGTTCGATTGATTTTGCACAGAACCTGCATAGCTGACACTGTAAGACCTCAGATCTTGCATATTTGTTGGGGCAGCCTTGTTCTCTGTGTAGCTTTCAATCTGCATTCTGCCTTCTCTGCAGGATTTGGATCTGAAATCCTCCATTACCCAAACTCCAAAGAGACTAAATTGGGAAAGGGAAGGAAAAAGGCCTTCTGGGTCTCCTTTTTATGGTGGTTTTAGATCAGGGAAAGGCCTATTTATAAGTAATATTGGGGGAAATAACAGAGTACTGGAGCAGTTCAGGATCAGGACGTATTTAATAAGTATAGGGATTGCCATTTACATTTGTCTTCTCTCAAGGGAGCTGAAAATGTTGACTCTTTGGCTTGTAGAATGGCCATAAAGTCACCTCCTTTTAAATAAAAACACTTAAATCAAGGCTTGTCATGAAAGCGAGTGGTTGCAACAACTCCTCTCAATAACAAAAGGTTTTCATTGAATATCTGTTGCGTTAGCATCGTTTAAGAACGATGTAAAGTTCAACGGCATTGTAAACATTAGATATGCTCTGAAATACTAAAACGATCCATATGAATGGATAAAGATACAAAATATTTCTTTATTTTAGCTCGTGAGTTTGATCATGGGCGGTTTTATCACGACCGTAAATGTTGGGACAGAAGAAATTGAATCATTATTTCAGATTCTTCAATTGAATTGATAGTTCTGTTTTTCTTGTATGATGAAGGGAGAGGGGCCCCTCAGCACAAGTTTTCATTAAACTCATTAATTGAAAGGCAGTGAAGTGAGATGGATGGTGCATTAGGCGTAGGGTATTGATGAATGTTCCAAGGTTGTATAGCCATCAATAAGGGTGGCCCTGAGGGGCATCATAACAGGGTTAAAGGGAATTTGCCACAATATAGTAATGAGCATTTGGAAGGACTTTCTACTAATGTTTGAGGGACGTGGAGACACAGTGTAACGGTCCAAATCCACTCACAGCAAATATTGTCTTCTTTGGACTTTCCCTTTCGGGCTTCCCCTCAACACTTTAAAATGCGTTTGCGAGGGGAAGGTTTCCATATTCTTATAAAGGATGTTTTGTTCTCCTCCCCAACCAACGTGGGACATCACAATCCACCCCTTCAAGGCTCAGCGTCCTCACTCACACTCTTTCCTTTCTTTGATCGATGTGGGACCCCCGCCAAATCCACCCCCTTTAGGGCCCAGCGTCCTTGATGGCACACCATCTCGTGTCTAACCCCCTTTGGAGCACAGCCTCCTTGCTGGCACATAGTTCGGTGTCTGGCTGTAATACCATTTGTAACGACCCAAATCCACCGCTATCCAATATTGTCCTCTTTGGACTTTCCCTCTTGAGCTTCCAAAAAGTTTCCATACCCTTATAAATTGTTGGGTTTTCCCTTTCGAGCTTCCAAAAAGTTTCCATACCCTTATAAATTGTTGGGCTTTCCCTTTCGAGCTTCCAAAAAGTTTCCATACCCTTATAAATTGTTGGGCTTTCCCACACCCTTATAAATTGTTGGGCTTTCCCTTTCGAGCTTCCAAAAAGTTTCCATACCCTTATAAATTGTGTTTTGTTCTCCACCACCGACAGTTTTTAGTTATGCTAACTAACACATATGAAGAGAGTGATGGAGGTGACTTGGGCGTAAGTAAGTGTTGCACGTTGGTATGGTACTTTCCTAACACCCTTTGATTTCACGTTGGTATGGTACTTTCCCAACACCCTTTGAAATCAGAGTATATGTAATGGAGTCCAACCTATTGCCTCCCTAGAAACTGGCCTTCCTTGGTAAGTAGGGTCGGGTTAGAACAACTTATAAGCACTTCAAAAGTTAATCCAAAGAGGTCTGGTTCTCTTTTAAGAATTTAATAGTTATATTATTTAGATGTAAATTAAACCCATATACATAGCAATTAATTTTGTTTATTAGTGAATGGATCCACCAACTATAAAACTAAGAAAATAAAACAAAAGATACCATAGGATTCCCTCAACGGAGTAATCTTAAAAACTCCTGTTCATTCACAGAGTAATATAAACGTCCATCTATCTAACAGAGATTTGAACTTTTCGAGCAGTCTGTAACTTACTATAGACTCGAGAAACAAAGATGACAAACAACCAACCCCTTAAAACGCACCCTTCTTAGATGGAGCTGAATTTGACATGAAGGCCTCTTCCAACGGAATATAATTACATAAAGAGATTCACACAAATAAATTCCTGATAAACAGATTGAGTTTTAATCAAATGCAATTTGGTAGAATTCTCAAAATCTTGCACAGAAAGCAGAGACCATAAATCATTAACAAAATGTCAGTCTGATAATACTAATATACGAAAACAGAGTGAAGAGACAGTAGAAAAATGTTCAAGTGGGGGCGAGGGGTGAGGGGTGAGGGGTGGGGGGTGAGGGGTGGGGCGGGAGGCTAAATAGTGTCCTTCAGAGATGAGAAAAATCACATCCCTATGAACAAAAACAAAACAGAACACAAAGAAAAGCTACACAAAAACCTCATCATAGGAGATCAGCAACATTGGCTGGCAGCTCCTCAACGACCACATTATAGAACTTCTGAATATCAAAAAGCATTCTCTCATCATCGCTTGTAACAAAATTAATGGCCACACCTTTTCTTCCGAAACGCCCACTTCGACCAATTCGATGAAGGTAATTCTCTGGTTGGGTTGGCAAATCATAATTTATAACAAGGGAGACTTGCTGAACATCAATACCTCGAGCTAACAAGTCAGTTGTGATAAGAACACGAGACGAGCCAGACCGAAATTCACGCATGATTATATCCCGAGTGTTCTGGTCCATGTCACCGTGGGTGGCCGATACGGTATGGTCTCGGCTTCTCATCTTGTCTGTAAGCCAATCGACCTTGCGACGTGTGTTAACAAAGATGACACTTTGAGTGATAGCCAGAGTCTCGTAGAGATCACATAACGTTTCAAGTTTCCAATCTTCCTTGTCAACATTTACGTAAAATTGTTTGATACCCTCCAAAGTAAGCTCATCACGTTTTACCAAGATTCTGACAGGCTTGTTCATGAATTTCCTAGTGATCTCCAAAGCTTCGGGTGGCATTGTGGCTGAGAAAACCCCAACTTGAATTTTTGATGGCAACAGCTGGAAAATGTCATAAATCTACCACCACAAAAAGCAGTAACATAGAAAGCCATTAGAAATCTTCATTCTATGACAAACGAAGAGAAAAAAGAAAAAATACAAATACAAAGCAAGGCTCCCATAAGACAAAAGGAACAAATTCAGCACTGATGAACCTAATAATAATACAATATTTATGTTAAATTCCTCCCTACAAAACACAATCATCATGAAAATGCTGGTTCAACAAGATACCTGATCTTTGAAACCTCGAGAAAGCATTTCATCAGCTTCATCCAATACAAACATCTTAATAGAATCCGGACGAAGAGATTGCCTCCTTAACATGTCAAACACACGACCAGGTGTTCCAACTACAACATGAACACCAGCTTGAAGAATGCGTTGATCCTCACGGACACTTGTCCCTCCCACACAAGCATGTACCTTAACACCGAGATAATCTCCAAGAGCTCTCATAACCTTCTCAATTTGTTGAGCAAGCTCCCTAGTCGGAGCCAAAACCAAAGCCTGGCACTGGACTAGACCATAATCAAGTTGCTGCAATATTCCAGAGCAAAAGGTTGCAGTCTTCCCAGTTCCAGACTGAGCCTGCTGAATCACATCAAGGCCTTTGCAGAAGGGAACAATACCTCTTTGCTGAATTGCAGATGGCTTCTCGAAACCTTAAAGAAGGGAGGAAACCCTTGGAATTAGATAAAGAATTACACAGAATATTTGAGACAAAACGAGCAAAAATCAAAAGAAATAAAAATGAAGCAAATAAGTATATACCATAGGCATAAATGCCTCTAAGGAGGTTTTCTTGCAGCCCCATCGAATCAAAACTTTCATAAACTTCATCATATGAGGTAAAAAATTCCTGGCCTTCTGCCGAAAGACTGCAAGGAGGAGCAAGAAAGTAATACTGAATTAGTGCATAGACATGGAAGCAAAAAGAAATCGCAAAGGATAATAATGAAAAAAGGAAATAAGAGAATCACTTACATCTCATTCATTTTAGTATCATATTGACGAGAATCAAATTGGGATCCTTCTGGAGCCAAACCTGCCATGGCTGTAAGTGGAGAATGGTGCAAAATATAAGAGATCACTACAGAAAGGGAACACTAAGACGAACAAACAAATCAAAAAACCCGAAATTACGCGGCCATGGAAATAATAAATTCATAATCATTTTATCAACCCGACCAACGGATAAACAGAACATTACGAATTCGTCAGAAAGGAAATCTGTAACAGAAAAGCCAAACTTGCAATCCTTATAAAGAGGATAACAAGCATTAAAATTCTGTCTCAATGTAGGAAAAGGAGTCGGGGCTATCTGATATTTTTTCTCAAAAAAGAAAAGAAAACCAGACACCGCTTTAACCTTTTCCAAAGCAGATGCTGTTAAAATAATCATAAAAAAAAAGCCCCAAAACAAAGTATAAACAAGAATTCCTGTATGAATTACATTGCGTTCCATACGAAAAAACAAAGAATAGGCCTAGTCTAAATAAGTAGAAACAGATTCATGTGGATTAAAGGAACAATTACAACCCACAAACGAAAAAAGAAACAAAGAGAATAAGGAACTCGACCTACAACCACAAGTCCAGACTAGCGTCAAATCCCGACATAACAAAACAAGAAGGAAAGAAAACCTAAAGAAAAAGATAATCGAAGAGGCACACATACATACAACCATATTCGTCCACTGAAATTAGTGGAAAAGGAAGCAAAATCAAAAGAGAAAGGAGTGAATCAGACCTGCGGATCGACAAGAACAGAGAGGAAGTTGAAGCAGAAGGAGATTGAAGAAAGGGCGCTAGGGTTTGCCAAACTCCTCGGATCTGATCCGTGGAGTTGGAGGCGAGTGTTGGGCAAAGCGCAGCGAAAGAGGGAAACAAAATGGGAGGGTGTTAGGTTTTTGTAGTAACCCTTAGACTGAGAATAATTAACCAAATTTCCGGAACTGCCCTTCCCTTGTCCTTTGTTTATTTTTATTTTTTTTAATTCTTTTAATATTATTAATTACATATATTTTTAAATGTATAAATGGGTGAATTTGTTTTCTAAAAAATGGTGAATTTATTTGAAAATATTTAAAGTTAATTGTTTTATTTTTATTATTATTATTATTTTATCATTATTACGTTGTGGTAAGATTTCACTACATTTTTTCTTAATTATTTAATATTAATTTAAAACAACTTGAGCCCAAGAAAAGTTGTTAATAATTATTGTAAATAAAATTCATATCAATCAAATTTTTTTTACGTTCTAATATAAAAATTGAGATGTAACTTGTTGAATTCTAGAAATATATTTTTTATAATTATTAAAAGATTAGATAAATTATTTTTTTTTTTTTTAATTTTAGATGAGATAATTATATTTTTAAACAAGTTTCTTGTTCCTATAAAAAAAAATGTTATTAGTTTTAGATGGTTAGACAAAATCTATGAAACTTACTTTACAATAATCCAATTAGAATATGAGAATAGTAAAAATGAATTAATTGATAATTTTGGTAAATATTTAAACCCCAATTAGAATATTGGAGCAGTAATAATGAATTTTAGAGCCGTTTTTGTTAACATACTTGTGTGGTTGCTTGACACCATCAATTAGTATCACCACCTGAGAGCGGCTATAACATCGGCTATAACATCAATAATGAAATATGATCGTGCGACAACCAAGTGGTAGGCACTTCCTGATACAAAAATATCACCGTTTTTTTCTTTAAACCATCTTCTAAATGCTGCAGTCTTCTAAGATTGATTTGAAGAGCAGAAGAATCAATGGAAAGGAAATGCTTTTAAGATTGATTTTATTGAAGCTTTATGAAGAGACGAGAAGTCATTACCTATCATCAGGTTGAAACATAGCTTCACTCAAGACTGAGGTTGAGCCCAATCGAGCAGACCTGATGATCCGCAAGAGGCTCCTCGGGAAGCTGCTGCGCGACCTCTGGCGCAACTATCTTAGTCACGGGATCGGCCCCACCTAAGGCGTGTGCACAGGAGGGCGTAGGCGAAACAAAATTCAAATGGACTGAGTCGCCTTCCTTCATGTCGTAGCCTTAGCTTACCGACAGGTCTTGTCTTGCATTAGATACTGTCTTAGGAGAGGAATGTTCTAGCTTACTCTGATAAATTTTGCAGGTTGATGAAGCCAAGCAGCTGATGCAAAAGCCAAAGAATGTGCCAAAAATATGGGAGGACCTGTCAGTTGTTTTAATGCCTGTGTAACTGAAGCTCTAATAGTTATGGTTAGAAGGTTGCTAAAAAATGAAAGCAGTTCAACATGATGAAAATATAGAGATGCAAAACTATAAAAAGCAATGCACCTGCTGCTTTAGCATGTGGCGCTCCATTGGCTGAAAGCATTCGAAGGACGTTGAGGATCTAGAACCGATGTAGATCGAGGCTCCCAGATTTGTTCCATTGTCCCAAGTAACAACCTTCTCTCAAATAACAATCAAGGGTAGTGCATAGAGAAATTTAGAGCATATCTATCCTATTTTTCAATTTTCTCAGTTCAATCATCGTGCAGTATCAATTCGGAACGGCCATTTATCAAGATAGCAAGACACGGTAAAGATAACAACTCATTTGCAACTGACCAACTTCAGTGCTTAAAAAGTATTTTCAAGCACTAAGAAAGTTATTCCGAACAAGCCCTAAATAGATACAATTTCATTTTGTGAGATCCCACGTCGGTTGAAGAAGGGAACAGTTCCTTATAAGGGTGTGAAAACCTCTCCCTAGTAGACACATTTTAAAACTGTGATGCTAACGGCAATACATAACAAGCCAAAGCGAACAATATCTGCTAACGGTGGGCTTGAGCTGTTACACATTTATAACTAACATGCTTCAGATCAACCTTCCTCGTTTTTTCTCTCCCATATAGAAAATCAACATTAAGCCTAACTTCTCCGAAAGCGAACCAAATTCCCTTTTAAGATCTCGTAGTAAGAACACCTATCGCCCACTTCAACTACAATGATCAAACAATTGCTAAGAACAAGAAGGTACAAAAAAATTCTACGGCAGGATTGGAATTCTTAAATCAAGGATGGTCAGCAAGGTAACATTATGACCCCAGATAGTCTCATACATCAACATCAATAGAGCATGAACAGACAAGAAATAAAAGTTGAATTCATTCTTCAAACCATGAATAAGACTATCCAATATCCTAAGCTCAAAAGGGTCATTCTAATTTTCTACAAACTTTACCATGATTGACAAGCATCGAGCACGGAATCACAGAACTTTCTAACTCCCTCCAGCCATGAAAGCATCAAACATGGATCTGTCTTCTGTACTCAAACTAGAAAATTATGTATTGGTTAAGCAGCAAAACAATAAGCTACTACTAATTGAAACCGATCAAACCTCAAATAATTTCATTACTTACATCCAAATTATCAAACGACATGGAAAGAATGAATCATTCCCATACCACAAGTATAAAGTCTTGAGGATTATTCATTATCAGAGAACTCGACGAATTACATCACTAAATGAAGCTAATGAAGAAGCACGAGTTAACCTCGTATAGAAAATATGAAGTGAATATTAGTCAATTCAATCCCCAGCATTGTCATCACAGATTCCCATATAAAACTATTGCATTCTAACACGAAGTTTATCGATCAAAATTGCAATATAAAATTCCTTTTCCCCCATCATATCGGCACGTACCGCTTCAACATCTGCTTACCCGTCACCGCCATACCAACCACGACGCCGCCAATAGCGCCGGCCACTGCCGCCGATCTCACCCCTCTTGCTGCACGATAAAGCGCACCGGTGCCAAGTCCCGCAGCAACACAGTTCCACACATCGTCCGTATCCCTCACAGCTTCAAACCCGCTCTCCAAACCAGCATATAGCAGCCCAATCACGCCCAGACGATTCCCCCAGAGACGCCCTGAATGACCAGACGAGTTCAAGATCCGATTGATCCGTAGTTTCATCGTATCACCTGATTCAAAAGACTTGACGCCGGAGACGAAGCCCGTAGACGCGCCGCCGACTGCACCAGCGAGGTAACCGCAACCCGTGTAGAAGGTGAGGTTCTCGCCCCAAGATCGACGCTGGCGGCGAGCTTCTTCATCGAAAAGAAACTCCGGGGAGGTTGGAAGCTGGAAATTTCGATAAGGAACCTGGAGATCCTTGTAGGGATTGTAAAGACGCGGTTGGGATGAGCTATGATCGAACCCTGAATCAGTATCGCGATTGGAAGAATGGTCCGCCATAGTTGAGATTTGAGTTCTAAGCTTAGGGTTGCGCTCAATTCTCTCCAACAGAGAGAGAGGGAGAGAGATTTTTATTAAGAACCGCGATTCTCAAAATAATCATACCGGTTCGGGTCAGGGGGAGCCGGGTAAACCGGAGCACCCGGTTCATTGTCTCTAGTATCTCGGGTTGACCGAATTAAACCAACGTATAGGGCGGTTCCACTCAGCCGAACCCTAAACCGGTAAGCTACAAAGGCGGTTTGTAAGATGCAGCAGATTAATTTCGCCTCCCGTGCTGATCACGTGATGTTTTTATTTATTTAAAGATTAATTCATATAAATACTTTCTTTTTTCAATGAACTTTAATTGAAAAAATAATTTTGACTCAAAATAAATTATGAAAATTGATATGGAAAAAAAATTAAAAATATACTAAAATTTTAAAGTTATATTCAAAATTAAGGTCGTTGAAATCATTAAAATATCGTTAAAATCATTTATATAATTACTGTTTTCACATTAGTTGACAAGTCCATTTAGTAAGAATGATATTGTAAATGATATGGATGAATTTAGTTCGATTCTATGTGAAAATCATTTCATAATTTTTAAACTTGTGTACGACTTCTTTATATACACAAACTAACACGAATCTTCGAGAGAAAAGTTAGGTGTGAGGAGTGACCGTTTTTATTAGTATAAACATTTTTTTTCATCTATTTCGATCGAAACTTGATATTATTTAGATAACTTTGAGTTGATTTTCAATGGATTAAGATAGTTACGAATAACTAAGATGTATACATTGATTTTTTCTAATTTGTTGTTTCCTTCCGCCATATGATCTTACCCCATCCCGTAAGAAATTTCGTGGCAATGAAGAATTAAAATGAAAGGCAGAATGAAAACGAGGAAGCCGTCTCAGTCTCCACCTACGAATATCCCTAATGGTACCCTCTCCTTCATTTTTCCACCTACGAACATCCCTTATGGTACCCTCTCCTTCATTTTTCCACCGACGAACATCTCTAATGGTACACTCTCCTTCATTTTTCTACCTACGAACATCTCTAATGATACCCTCTCCTTCGTATATATTATCACAATAGTTTTAAAGCCGTATAGACAAAATGAAAGCCTAACTAGGGAGACCAAAGAAAGTAACAAATAAGCCTGAAAAATGTTTGAGCAGTGAATCAGAAAGCTCATAGAATATAAGCCAAGAATGATGAAATGATACAACTTACAAGTGGGTTGTGGAGAAGGAAATGGTGAGGAAACAAGCCACATTTGCAGGCGTTTATAAATGTGAAGTGCTAAACGAATACGAAAGAACAAACAAATTAGATACAATGATTTCTCTTTATGAAAATGGTAAGTTCTTTTAGCAGAAGCACAACTTACAAATGACCAACAGCATTGGGAGCTTTGCTGCTTCTTTGTCTGTTCATCAACTCGTTTTCCACTCAGTGGGATAGCTGAGACTTTTGCATCACTGTTCTTCGAGGTCTATTCTTTCTTTATCCGCAGAGAAATGGTATTCAAACCAATACCCTTTTGGCTCCAAGATCTCCTTTTGGCTCCAAGATCTCGTATCGACTTTCGCTGCCATCTTGTTCTCACATCGTTCTATATCGAGTTTCCATTGGCAGGTTGGGATTGTTTCTCGTTCTTTCCTGTTCATACATGATAGCAAGATATAAATACAAAGGTTTCCAGTGTATATAAAAGATCAAAGCCTGGTAACAATAAAAATTGCAGCAACTTTTTTGTTCAACCTTTTTTCACACAAGTTTCAGGATGAATTTTGGAAACTCTACACATGAACAAAGAAACTGCAGTCAACTAACCTCATGTCCCGATCTCCTTAATTTTGGAGCTGAGTTAGAGTTAGAGGCCGGTCGATCACGTGATTCGCAGACATCTGGGAGTTTTCCCTTTGGTGGCATTTTGCTCAATCCTAGATTTTTTAACCGGACCAGTTCGGGCAATAGAACTGTATGGAGATCAGGCCTGTCTCTTTTCCTTAGCTCACAGCACTGCAGGGCTAATTGAGCGAGTCCAAGAGTATCTTCAATAGGCCAATCTGTAACTGTAGGATCAAGTACCTGTGGAAATGTGCCGTGTTCAATGGCCTCCTCGACCTGATATGAAAGACCCATCGGTGACCTTGCAGTGATGAGCTGGAGTAGCAGAACACCAAATGAGTAAATATCTGACTTCACACCCAACATTCCTGTTTGTTGATATTCTGGATCAATGTAACAAAATGTTCCAGCTGCAGCAGTCATGTGATATTGAGTGACGCTATCGGCAACCGATGGTGGAACTAGCCTGGCCAAACCCACATCCCCTATTTTGCCCACGTAGTTGTGATCTAAGAGAATGTTGGCTGGCTTGAGATCGCGATGCACCACAGGTTCTGGCTTCATTTGGTGAAGGAAGAGTAAGGCAGTGGCAATGTCAGCAGCTATCCTGAAACGGGTACTCCAAGGGATTGGAGGAGTGTTATCTTTTCGGAAAAGACGGTCTTCTAAGCTCCCGTTTTCCATATATTCGTAAACGAGGCAACCGTTTTCTGGACAGGCACCTAAGAGGAGAACCATGTGTGGATGCCTCATGCGGCTTAGAACCTCAATCTGCAAACGATGAACACAGAATCTTCAGGAGCTTGTTAAATGCATGAATTGAATGAAAATTTACGTGTTATCATTCGTTATAAATATGTTTCTTGTTGTAACAGCTTGAGACAATGAAGTTGCAGTGAACTAAACGATCTACTATTACAGAAAACGTACGCGTATAGATGGCAATTCCACGAAAATATTTCCACTTCCAGCCTAGATAAACAAAGATAAAACAAATTTACCTCTTGCTGGAATTGTTTCTGCCCATGAGATCTATCTGGTCTCAAGATCTTAATGGCAACAGAAGTATGATCGAGTATGGCTTGGTAAACAGGTCCATATCCCCCTTCACCAATCTTATTAGCCTCATTAAAATGATCTGTTGCAGCTTCGATCTCGTCAATTCTGTATCGTTTATAGCAGACATTACTGCGTTCCAATAAATCAATTGCTTTCTTCATCTCCTCTGCCTCAATCCTAGCTTTATTTTCAACAATAGCTCGTTTTTTCTGGGTCTCCAATTCTGCCAACTTCTGTGCCATTACAGCTGCTTCTGTCGCAGCCTTGTTCTTCTGCTTCTCAAACTCGGCCAACGTTGTTATAGCCTCTTCTGAAGATTTACCACGCTCAATTTTTTGGTCTTCTACCATTTCCATCTTCAATTGTTGCATTTCTTTTGCCTGACATCAGTCATCAAACATAGTATTTCCATTTCAGGATCAACAGGGTACGAACAACGTACGATCTAGAAATTCTGAGCTTAAGAATATCATCTGACATAGAAACTGTGATCATCAGTTCTTACCTTTTGTTTTGCTATTATAGCTTCATTGGAAGCTAATTCATACATTTCCATCGTTTGTTTGAGTTCCAACCTCAACTTTCTCATCTCAGCTTCTATGAAAGACTGTAAATGCCGATAAGCTAATTTATTATGTATCCATGTCTATAACTACATAACTTAAAAGATATAAAATATTGTCGCCCAAATGTAAATTCATATACAAATGATGTTGGAAATGTAATCTTTGATTGACCGAAATCAAATAGCTCTTTAGCTGGACAAGAAAATGATAATTTTTTACTTACTGGGGTGTTAGAGGACACAAAGCTCCTCGAATTAGTCTCTGAGGAGGTGAAAGATTCTAAGTTCTCAAAGGATGTTTCAAATGATTTGAAAGGCCCCGAATGGTCACTGATGCCTGACATTGAATCATAACTGGTGCCAGAACTATCCCAACAATCGAAACAAACCGTTGTTAGTCATTTGCCACAACCATCACCTCTAAAAGGCAGTTGTAGGCAAGCAACCAAAGCTTCTGACCGAGAATAAAGGGAAGAAAACATTAAAAGCCTGTATGCTTATCCTATGAGTCTACGCAAACAAAGATCACTGATTGAACAACGTAAAAGGAAAATTGGGCTTTTGTCCAGGAACACCAGTGAAAAAGAACAAGACAGAAATCAAACATTTCAGAAATTTTCATGAGATCTTTGCCTTGGATTACATTTCACAAGTACGCAATTCCAGAAGGCCACTACTACATTGACATCCCAATCAGCTAATGATAAGAATTCTATCTATACAGGAAATTAGTGAAGACGCAAAAAAGAGAAGTTTACCATAATAAACTTGTCACGTATGAGAAAGATGAATGTTGTGGATAGTTGTATCTACCCAACAATGTAAATATTGAATTTTTTACCTGCTTTTATCTTCAGAGAGTCCTGAGATATTAGAGTATGATGATTTTTGTATTTTTGATAGAGACCTGCTCAAATGTGGAGCCCTAGGTGGTGTTTCTGTACCATCAGTTTGTGACTTCGGTTTCTTTTTCAGTCTCTTAGTATGAACTTTTCCTCTACCTATGACATATACAGAGCACGATTCTGGAGTTGATTTGAGTAAGCACGTTGGGACATCGGGATGCTTGAACTTCCTGCATCAACGCAAATGCTTATAGCTTAGACTAATTTCTTCAATAAAATGTACAAATCTTCCTACCACAGAGGCAAAGAGAGAAAGACAGACCTCAAAATAACATTCCGGCTGGAAGCACCCACAACAATATTGCTAATGGAGTGTTTACTGACATAGTCAATAAGTGCACTAGGAACATCAATGTCGTGTATGATTATCTCCTTTGCAACTATCTGAAACATGCGAAAGTACAATATTTCCTTTAAACAAGTTGATTTAAGATGCATTTTATGGATGAATAACAGGGGAAAAACCTAATTAAGTAAAAAGGTTTCTCAGAATCAACTCAATGTGGCATATGCCATAGTCATGGTTCCTCGTTTGAAATATGTAAACCTAATCTCATGAATGATATTATGGGAGTGTTTGCTGACATTTTGATCAAATGCATAAACGATTCATTATCCCATCAAAACAGATCATCCTGAAAGAAACCCCGATTTCAAAGAACGAGAAGTATCCGATTATTTGTATATGACAAGG